ACAGCTGTGGGTGACGAATCAAGATTGCTAGAACGAAAAGAAAAGCAAAAGGTTTGCAAAATTTGTCAAAGGTACAATCTTTATCACGATTTCTATCTAAACACAAAGGGATCCTCGGTGAGAATCGAAATTATATTAATTTTCCGCTGTGCATGTATAAGTAGATTCCTAACAAGTAAAACTAGATATAATTCATTCTGTAAGTCCGATAAGCAGATACATTAAAAATCCAATAAAAATGCATCTGTTCACGATCAAGAGAATCTTTTATTACTTATAAGGAACTAAAGATTTTGGACTGTTCTACAAAAAGGATAAGAGGACAAATTTATTTGAGTCTCATGCAGGAGATCAAGATGATAGAATAAGCACCTTAGGTTATATTTTTATACTAGGCACGAGGCTATTTCATGGCCATCCAAGAAGTAACAAATTATGACTTTTGTTACACCACTAGTAACGAGTCTCCTAGTCAAACCAATGCCTATACTATGCGACACCCTCCACGTCACACATCACTGTTGATGCACCGAAGTGAAGACAATGCACACATGCTGATCCAAATCTCCAAAGTGATTCGAGTCGAAACAAGTGATGACAAAGTGACACGACTGGAGACATGCTTGCTAAAAGAGGTCAAGGCACCTCGATGCAATATAGGGATTTTTTGTGCAAAGATCCGTCTAAGATAAAATCTTTTGACTAATGGATACGACGTCATGCGACATGCACCAAAATGTCAAATCAAATTTATTTTGTTAGAAAACATTACACACTTGTCCACCTATGGAGTGATTGATTGACGCCTAGAAGGAGACATTTCGGCTCGACAGATAAGGCCACGTGCCTTTCATTTAACTGCCCTTTCTTCGTCTCCTCTATAAATATCCATGCCTGCGTCTTTGAAATGGTAATGCAACTCTACACATAACAATATCATTATTTCCTTCCCATATTATACTAATATGTCAATTTCAATGTTCCCACTACTGGAATTACCTAATTATATTTATCATTTCACTAACTTGATCATCGAAGTGCTCGAGGACTCTATCACGACCACTATCACCACCGATGAAAAAGGCCACGAATGATTGTGTGTTTCAAGTGTCCATGGAGGAGCATATGTAGAGCTACTTTCTATTGGCCACGTGTGGATTCATTTTTTGGGCACAACAACTTTGTCAACTACTGAAGTTGAATTTGTTGCTAAATAGCTTCTTCTTGTCAAGCTATCTGACTGAAGAAAATTCTTGAAGATTTACATGTCAAGCAAGTAAGATCTACTACAATTTTTTTGTGACAGCAGCTCGGCCATTAATTAAACTTTCTAAAAATCCTGTGTTACACGGAAGAAGCAAATATATTGATGTAAAGTATTATTTTTTAAGTGATCTGGACAATGATGGAACAATTGATCTAAAGATCAGTTGGCCTATATTATATTCACTAAACCTCTAAATTTCTTCCCTTACAAAATCTAAGAAGGTTTTTGGGCATTTGCACCTTGAGAAGTTATGCTTGAAGAAGGAGGTGCACAAATAAACTGACGTTTAAAAGCTTTCAATTTAGGGGAGGGATTGTCATAAATTTTATTATTTATGGTTTGTAAGTTAAAGACTTGGTCTTTGTTAATTCTTACATGAGAATAAATGTTTACTTGGTCTATAGGGTGTTAACTAAATTTTCCTAGTCTATAGGATACCCCCATTTTCTCGTGATAATGGCTGATTTTTATGTAATTTGGTTAATTCTCATGGCCATAAATAGCCTATTCCCCAATTAAACTTATGCTTCAGATTTCCATTCTTGTCGAGTAGGGTTTTTTCTTCTTTTTCTATCAATTATAGAAAGATAAAAGCAGTAGCTTTTCATATCCATTTGGGAGTCCACATTACTATTTATATTTCTATCAATGCCTTGCCTGACGCTAAAGCTTTCTTACATTATTAGCGCTCAACATTTAAGGTGGGGACTTAAACTTATACACCTAGCAGCTCAAAGGGTGACTTGTCCAGCGGAAGCAATTAGCCAATTACTTGATTATAAAATGCCAACTCCAACATGGAAATTTGCCAACTTGACTAACCAGCTCAGGTAATAAATCAATCACTTGATTCAAACTCTGGCCTTGACAAAAGCAAGATATCAACTCCTCAATTCAAGCTCAACTTTGATAAGAGCAAATAAACAATTCATTGCCACTTCTTGACATCGGTATAGACAAGCTCTCGTACAACACCAAAAGTGCCTCCATGTGTACACAAGGTGACTCTGTATCATCCTATTTGAAGCACATCTTCCTATTGTCTGGAAGGTTGCCCAATAAGGTACGATCATACCACTGGCGGCTATCACTGCCTCTGTCAACGTAATACTTGTACCTATGGCCTAAATTTATCATTATAAAAAAAATATAAACAATTAATACTTTAGCCCGATCAATTGCAAGAAAGTTCATTATGTGAAATAATAGTCCATACCTTTTTATTTTATTTTTTTCTTTTCGGGCTGAAGCCCAAGTAGTGTTTATTTAAATAATGGAGATAATGTTTTAATTTTATCTCTTTTAATTAGATTGAAATTTTAAATGATTGAGATAAAATCAAATTCCTTTTAAGATAATACTTTAATTTTATCTATATTTTATTTAATGTTAAAAGATAATTGAGATAATGTCTCTTTCAATTAAAATTGAAATATTAAATTATAAATATAATATTTTGATTTTATCTCTACTTTATTTAATTTTAGAAATTATGGAGAATTTTTTATTTTTTTATTCATCATCTTATCCCATTAGGCGAAATATGGTTGAGATGATAATAAGATTCTATCACATTAAGATTCAAAATTCAATTGAATTAGATTTCTCAAAGCATGGTGGCTCCTATAAATAGGTATCATATGTTCCTCTTTCCAAATACATTCATTTCTTTGTAAAATATATACAACTAAAAATATAGCATATTCTTTAGCACGTGGGACAAGGGTTGAAGTTCCAAATATATTCTAGTATTTATCTTATCATTTTCACAAGATATAGTAAGTGTATAAGTATTTTTATGATTATATACGAATTGATTATGACGTCCTTTATGTATGTTCTAAGTTTGGATTGGAAGATAGTAGAGTTGTGCATGAAAATTTCATACCATCTATGTTTGGTATAGATTTTCGTATCTCACTATGTTTGTATGTATGAAGTTCCCTAAATTCTATACAAATGTTTATCCATTTACTTATATGCTTATTGAGATTTTATCTCATCCCCTCATATTTTTTTCGAGAAATTGATAGTTCATGAAAATCAAGGTATGAGAGGACTAACGAATTGGCATTTGGAAGGAGACCCACCATGCACAATTCTACTTACTTAAGAACTTTACTTTTATTTACATCTCTAGAAGATTTATTTATTTGATGTCAAAACTTGATAGTATTTAATAAAGTTTTAAGTTGTAGAAAAATAGGTTTTTTTATGTTCAAGATAAAGATTTAGTGGCACTCGGATCCTAGACCTCGAGTTGTCACATTCAATCTCTAAAAGCGCATTCACTGTCTCTTCTGGTCTCTAGAAGTTCATCCATCCTCCATTTCGAAGATTCTCACGAATGAGTGGTGTTCTATAGCCTTTTAGCAACATTGGCTTAGTTTCACCTCTTGACTCGCACTCTCTCCACAACATGGTGGCAAAAAGTTGCAATTGTAACATTATCGACCATTCGACTATTGAACATGTCATTTTTGGATAGCTAAGAAGTATTGATGCATTACATTCTACCTTTTTCTACCCTCGAAACCAAGGTTAACAAGAATCTTCTTGGTCTTATGGACCAAAATTATAGTCGATATAAGTTACCCTAAGTAGCTAAACTTTTTGCCCCGAATTGACTGCCAACAGAAAATTTTATTTAACATGGTATAGAGGGCTGCGATCGCATAATACAACCGATGTAAGTTCAATCTTTTAATATGCCATGAAACCGCAAGGGGTTCGAAATTTACTGCTAACTGAAAAGTTTAATAATTAACATGGTATAGAGGGCTGCAATCGCGCGGTACATCCTATGTATGTTCTTCTTATCATTTAATATGATATGCAATCGCAAGAGGTTTTGTATCTTGCAATCGCAGCATACTACCTTTTTCCCTTTTTACTTTTGGTCCTAAATAGCTTTCTATTCGGCCGATGTCCCATGTAATTGCAATTTAGGCAATTTTTCTTCCAAATCATGTCACATTGGTCCCCATTCTATGAATTATGCATCAAGCACATCCTTTTTACCCAATCTTTATTCTTTTTTCTTCAAAATCTCATTCAACATCGAGTTTTACCTAAACAAATGATATTTATACGAGATTAAGAAATAATTCCTTAAATGTACTTTCAATTACTATCTCCTTTTGATAACGTAAATAAGTGTGAACAATATACTTATCATTCACAGTGGCTATAACGAGCATTTCCTAGGAGCTTCCTTAAATAGAAGCAGCCAAGTAGATATCTGAAGAGGAGCCTACCTTTCTTTATCCTGCCAAAAGGGTTTGCATCCTTCAACTCGTGATAACCTGATGTAGGGTCGGACCTGTGTTTTGTTGAGCCCGAGGTGAACTTCAGATTTTGGGCTAATAAATCATAGAAAGCAATCAATATTTTTCATTTATAAGAAATTTAAGGACTAAATTTGTCAAAAAAAAAAAAAAAACAAAAACAAAACAAACAAACAAACAAAGAAACTGAAATATTTAAAATATTTATATTATAATCAAATAACAATATGAAAATGTTCTAAAAGATCACTTAAATATAACTCGTCTTACGATTTTCAAGGCAAAAATATCAATCAATTTTGTATAGTTGAGTTAGTCAACCATTTCATTTTCAATTGATAGCATGGCTAAACCATTCAGTCTTTATTGTAACATAGTTGATCGGATGCAAGTGTAACTGGGATGGTGAGCAAAATCTTTTAAGTAATACAAGCATTCGGAAAACATCAATTCATTTTCTTCAAGTAATGCAGCATGTCAATTGCTCTTTTTGTTTCTCTAGTTAAATAGCACCTCAAGACAATCAACTCTAAACACAAGCCATCACCTATAATGTGTGAATGTCCATTATGTTTTAAATACTGCTCAAGATTCATACAATATTTCAACAAACTGTCAACTTGCATAATCTTTAATCTATCCAAATTAAACAAAAATTCAAATATCTCTTCAAAATGTGTAAATTGTTCAAAATGCGTTCGAAGTGATGATTGAGCTCGATCAATTATAAAAAGAAAATACTCAACTTTAAAAGAATTTTTAGCCGAGTGTGTTACCTTTGCACTGCCACTTTCATTGAATTGCTTCTTTATTCGAATGCTACGTCTATCATGAAATATAGCTTCAATTCCCGTTTCACTTGCCATTTGTTTTGCTTCATTCATGGCACTAGCAAACCCAAATTCTCTATAATCTTCGAGAAATAAAATAAGTGCTTGTAAAAGCTTGAACAGACTTCATTACTGTCCATGTTTTCATCTTGAAAAAATTTACTCACAGTATTGATTGCATACAACAATTTATACCAAATTACCATGCTAAGCAAAAACTCAAAATTTTCAAGTTCATATGTTGCTAAGGACTCAACTTCACTTTTTGTTTTAAAATCTTCAACAATGTTTGCCAAGTTAAATAAAGTGTATCTTATTTGTACAGATTGTTCTTTTATAGGCTTCACACTTTTCACATGACTTTTCCAGCGTGTTTGTGATTATCACTTAAGTGTCATACATTGAACATTATCTTTAAAAAATTTCAATTGTTTGGAGAAGAAGAGAACAATGCATAGATTCATTGTATCATTCCAAAGAAAGACATAGCTTTCGAACAACAATTTACTATATCACATAATGCTAGATTAAGGTTATGGCAACCTCGTGGAGTATAGAAAGCTCCAGGATTTATTTTAAGTAACCTTTTTTGTACACCTTTATGTCTCCCGTTCATGTTAGCTCCATTTTCATATTCTTGGTCTCTTATATTATCAATATCAAGTTCAAGATTCTTTGACACACTTTTAAGCTCAATGAAAAGTCCAAGTCCCGATATATCATCCACCTTCAAAAATTCAATCCAATATTATTGTACCATCGACGAGTCTACCGAATCATCCATGTACACATTTTTAAGCTCAGCGAAAAGTCCGAGTCCTGATGTATCAACCACCTTCAAAAATTCAATCCAATATTCTTGTACCATCAACGAGACTACCGAATCATCCATGCATCGTATTACTAGAGACATTTGTTCTTTATTACTCGCATTTGGAGTACAATCAAGTATGATGAAAACATATTTTGCATGTTTCACTTTTGTGATAATTGCACTTCTCACCTCATCTACCAGCATTTGTATCAATTCATTTTAAATCTTAAGACCTAGATATGTATACTAAATCTCACGTGCTTGAGCACATTAAATGTGTTCTTCCATTATTGGATCAAACTAAGCAACCATTCTTCCATTTGCAAAAAAGACCGTTGTTCTCAACATAAGGTTGCTCACAATCTCCTCAAAATGTCAAAGTATTTTTAGCGAGTCTTTTCACGATAGCAATTATTCTCGTTAATGCTTGTTTTCAATGCTCTCTTTCTTTGTTGATGGACAATTGTAAGCTTTCATCAATTGTATGTTTTGTTTGAAGCTTATTTTTCATTTCCATTTCCATCCAACTAATCATGCAACCTATATGCTCCTTAGACACTTCATGATTTGTAAAATGCCAATGCACATGATGCCAATCATTGTATCCATAATTACTCAATTGACCAATATTTTTCAGCATTTTTTTGTCTTAAATAACTTGCAGCAAAAACAAAAGATCTTATCTAAAGAAATTGAATACTAGTTCTTCTATCACCTATATGCCATTAAATGCTTATAATATGATGATTCAAAATGTCTACCTTGACAATCTCAGGGAAGCAAGATGTCATTAATTCTTTTTTAACCCATTTCAACAAAAAAAAAAGGCCTTTATTTTTTGATCAATGTGAATCTCCTTCCAATTTTCAGGATCATTAAATTTCAAAGAAAATTAATTCTCTTTATTTAAATCTTCATGTCAAACATTTTGTTCATCATTCTGTTTTGACTCATCCTTATTGGTAGGTTCAATCATTTTCTTATTCTCTTTCTGTTCATCCACATGATCATTACCATTCCAATTTTGTTGTTTCTCAATCGTTAAATTTTATGGTGTTCATTCCTTGTCTTTTCTTTTCTTGCAATAAAAGTACGTATCCATATCTCCAACTTGGCTTCAAATTAATGCCTCTACTCTTTCCCTCTTCTTCCTTTTTTGGACTCCCGATGCATATTTAGGAGTCATGGTATTTGACTCAAGTCACTCGACAGCTAACACTTACTAAAATTTGAGAGTAAAAGAGGCTCAAATTAGTTTAAGAACGAAGATCAAAATTGATGGCCCAATCACAATTCACATCTTTTAATAAAAGTACTCAACTTAACATCAACCATAATTCATAGCTTATCAATTATAGAGTTTTAGTTGCTCACTTGATAATGAGAGAACTAGACCAAAAAATAAAAAATAAATACTAGCAAGCTAAATCCATTAAGTCGAGCTAATGCAACTATATGTCCATCACCTAGCCTTACCTATTTCATCGTATCATCATCAACTTCTATCTTCGAACCCCCCCTCCCCAACACAAAAATTGGAATGCTAGAATCTATATAACAGTTGCTTACAGTCACAGCTCATTTCACTTGCTTTCAAATTATTTTAACATGGCAGGATTAATCATTAATAGATGAATTTCAAAATTTCATTCACCAACAACTGGAATTTCATATACTTCAAAGTTCAAGTCTTCAAGTTTAAGAATCAAAATGCAACAAATAGACAAAGAAATCAATTTAAATATCACTCACCCAAAACAAGAAAATGAATTAATAACAGAAGTAGCATCATGCCGTCGGCCCGTCGTTGGTAGGATTTTGGGGAAAATAAATGACTTACCAAATAACAGCAATTTAGAAAATAGTGTTGGGGGAATACACCGATTATGTACATATTATATTCACAAAAGCATAACGTTTATTTGCGTGTAATCAAAACATAATTTCAACTTACCGAATAGGATTTGAGAAGCAAAACATAAAAGTTACCGAATCTGAATGCATGGATATGGATTCATCCCTTTCGATTCTTGAACGAAAGCAAATTATTCTTTTGATCGAACCTTGCAACATAAACATGTAAACAATGTTAATCATTTCCCGAAATCAAAATATAATCAAAAGAAATCAGAAAACTGTAGGAAGAAAGATGCAAGTGATGAATTTTTTGTCGAGGTAAGTGTTTGACACTTGGTCTCTAAGATGAATTTGCCCCGCATCGGTGCTAACGGTTTTTCGACAATCATCTCCCAAGATACAACGACCATATCAAGCCATAGGAGCACTCCAAATGGCTTTGACCAACAAACTCTAATGGAATTCCTTCTCTACCATAACAATGATTTTGATGCAAAAGATAATCATTTCTACAAAGTGTTTTATATAACTTAACATGAAATGAATAATATGGAATTATGAAATGAATTGGAATTAATTGGAATGACAAATACACATTCAAGGGGTCCTATATATAGAAGATGAAGGGTTGTGGGTGAAGGGACACACCCCAAATCCAGTATTTTTCATGGAAAGTTGCAATACTTCATTTCAAAAAGTCGCAACACTTCATTTCAAACCTGCACCCTTTCGAAAAGTTGCGACACTTCATTCTTCCAACTTTGGACTGCAATTTCTCATTCATCCGGAATTGGTTTCGAGATTCCAAATATATCACGACGATCTACTCAGCAAGTCGAATAAGTTGGTCTATTTACTTTTGTAATTTGACCATCGGATTAAGTCCGAACATTCGACCGAAGTTAACATGAAGTCATACCTTTTCATTTTCCCAATTTTAATCTTAACCAATTTTCAGTTAATTTTTGAACCAATTCCAATAATCCCCCACATGAATGGAAATTCGAGTATGCAAATGTAATGCTATAATGTGATGCAAGTAGAGAAAGAGCGGAAAGCCACTACATCGGGGATAGTAGCTTCTGGCCTTGAACCTCGCGTAGTGAAATACCATCGAACTTACTCGGCTAATTGGTGAACGTAATGTCTTGAACCATTCAGCCTTTAGTGTAAGCCAAGATAACGATACTCACAGAGATGTCTTTCCTAAACTATTCATGGTTCTCATGACTTGGTTCATTTTGGCCCTGAAGCCTTCTTAGTTCTGCAAGTGTTTAAAGAATTCAAACCTTGAATAATTCTCATTAAAACGACCCACTTCACACTCACATAGGTGACCTCCTATTAAGAGTATTCTACCCTACTCCACTTGATTTAATCAAGCTATAGGAATTATTAAAAGATTATCTTAACCTCTTACAACTCTGCAGAAAGCACTTTAATATCTTAGGAACGAGTTAGGAAACTATTTTCCTTAGTGCTTCATGGAATCCACATAACTTAGTTGTCCCTTTGAACCAAGATCTTAGGATCTCCAGTCAACAAGGTAGGGTTACCATTAGAAGGACTCTAACTTAATAGGCTTTACCTCATTCCCTTTGATATACAGTATTCTTGATCTCTCTTAGTAAATCTCTTTAAAGGTACCACGAGTTTACATCACTGAGATCAACTGCTTAATGGTATTATATCTATGACTTATACGTCTAGACCTACCATTACATGTGACTTAGTATCTTATCAATTATTGCTAGCAAACGATCGATTTCATTTAATAGATACAAATTGTCACCACCAAGAAATCCTTTCATGAAGCTACATGCTTCTTATTATCTTTATCTAAAACTTTATCAATTCCAAACAAGATTGAAGGATTTCTATCTAATTATTACACTAGTCAACCATGTTTATAAGTGGATTTCAGAATCATGGGTATTCAATATCATCATTGAAACATTACCATGCATTTGAACTATATGAATATTCTTCATATATTCCAATTGTTCTTGCATGTCCAAACAACCGCCACAATTGGCTTCTACCCATTTAATCCACTTTAGACATAGTATATATCATCTTTATAATTAGTATAAGGGTTTTCATATTTCCACATTCATAGGTATCGTTCTATGATTATAAGTTAGAAGCAAACGTAACTGTTAAACTAAGTTACCCCCACAATTCCTCAATTAGGAATACATATGCAATCTAGTAATATTGCATCCACAGGTTTTAGACTTTCCATATCAAGTTCACAAGCATTAAATTTAACCCCCCACATTCTTGGGTTATACTTGAACTTAGAATTCAGCAACTCTTTTAGAGTCTATTCATTTATCTCTTAGATAATATCCGTATCAAGTGCTTCGTTAAAGTCTATGTATTTTCAAAGTAGTGGTCGTCAACTTGCATATAACGTACTTCAATCTAATTAATTTTGATCATTCAAATTAAATCAAGGCCATCATATGAACCAACAATGCTTTCAAAACATATACCAACTAAATTGGTTTTATGATTGAAGTTAAATTCAACAATAAAAAGGGCTAAACATTTGCAAGATATGCAACTTATCACATTTGTGACATTTCACATGATAATTTCATTTTATGTCAAATAATAAGGTACATATTCACCTTATTCATCATATTCAAACTTGAATGAACGAATCAACCATAGGTTGAAATTTTGTGTTCTTCAAGAGACACAACCATACAAAAGGACACATCTTTTGAATTAATCTCTATGAAGAGACACACCCATTGGGAAATAATCATACCAAAAGTTATGATTATTCATATAAAATGACGCACCTTTTCATCTAAATTGATCCTAGAATATCTCATAATATTCTTCATATCATCGTTTTTAACCTTTCCAAGTGAATGTCATTCACAATCATTATTTCCAAGGATATCCAATACCACCGCCAAGTATAGACACTGTTTGTGTTCTATAAATATTTTCTTATCCCAATAATTGGGCAAGCAATTTTTGCTTTAATATGATTAAAACAAAACCACAATTTGTCATATAATTTGCATGGGCCTTCTCATTTAATTTCATCAAATTAATTGAGGCTCAACAAGATATGAGATTTTAACCAAATTAAGAAGCCGCATCCAACAATATGGGTGGACACCAAATCATGCTTCTTCATATGAATAATTTTTTCAAATATTCTCCACTAAGTACCACTTAATGGATTTCTTTGTGGAAACATGCATCTCAATAATGCACACCATTTTAATGGATTTTGATAGATTTTAAAAGGTACAATTCAATTTACTAATGGCTTTCACAACCAGAAGAATGCAATAGAAACTTTTTCCATCCCAAGCAATTTC